ACTTTAATAAAATTTCCCTGTGAGTTACCCATGTCAGTGGGTGAATTGAGAGCTTAACTGAGATCATTGAGAAAGTTAGCATGAGAGGGAGGTGGTCAGAATCAGCTCACAAACTCACTCACTAATATTTATTTCATGCTTGCTATTGGCAAGATACTGGGCGTATAGAAGTGGATGAAAGAGAACCCAAAATTTGTGGAGTCTATTGTTTAGTGAGAAAGATAGACATTAAGAAATAATTATACAGAAAAATTTTCACCTGCAAATCATGCTGTGTACTATGAAAAAGAAATGAAGGCTATAAGGCAAAGTCTTAATATGATCTAATAATTTAGATCAGAACTTGTCAGTAAAGCCTTCTTTGTAGATATGACAAAAAAAATTATGAAAAAGAGGTATCACATTTATCCACAGGAAGTGTTGGAGTAAGGACATTCCAGGCTGAGAAAACCAGATAGAGGAGGGTGCTAAGGTAGGAAAGCACTTGGTGGATTTCAGGAAAAGATTAACATGACTAACATACAGTGAAGGGTGCAGGATAGAGAGAGAAGCAAGGGTCCTACCATGCAACGCTTGGAACTATCCTAAGAATTCTATATTTTATCATTAAGTTCAAGGGGAAATCAAGGATAGATTTTGAATAGAACGTTATAGGATCATATTTGTGACTTTAAAGTATTACTTTGGCTGCTGTGTAGAAAATGGATGGATATAGCAGGAGAGGAAATAGGTAGAAGAGTTAGGAGCCTGGGCTACAAGCCCATGGGATAAAATGGTAAATGAGACCAGGGTAATGGTGATGACCGAATTGGAGAAAAGTGGATAGATTTAAGATACATACTGGAGGTAGTACTGATAGGCTATGATAATAGCCTGGATTCAGGACAGAATGAGGAAATAGGTGTCAAGAACAACATCTAACTTTTCCTACATGGCCACAAGTTGGCTGATGGCTGATAGTGTCATTTAACGACATGGAGGAACCCTGGGGAAAGAGCACATCTAGTAGAGTTGAGAGGTGGAGATGAAGAGTTCAGTTGTGAGACTGATTAATCCCACTTTGTTCAAAGTATCTGACTTACATTTAATAGTAACAAAGCCATATTCCCCAGCCTTTTCAGTCCAAGTCCTCCACTTGAAAAATCTTGATATGAATTTTAGGTTCCTGGAACTAAGATGCTACTTTCAGTCAAGGATTAATAAAGAAGAAGAATTAACTTTTTAAGCTAACATGGATAGTATTTTAGACTTTTGGCCCCAAATAAAAAAAAATAATACATGCTTAATTTCAAATTAAAAGATTTGGAAGAGAATTATCAGTTAAGAATTAAGCATTGTGGCTAAACCCTCTAAAACCTGATAGGCTGCCTTCCAAAACACACTACCTACATTTTAGCCCAAACTTTTCTTTTTTTTTCTTTTTTTTTTAAGATTTTATTTATTTATTTGACAGAGAGAGACCACAAGTAGGCAGAGAGGCAGGCAGAGGGAGAGGAAGGGAAGCAGGCTCCCTGCTGAGCAGAGAGCCCGATGCGGGGCTCGATCCCCCC